AGCCACCCCCTACCCCGGGATGGCCAAGAGAGGCCACGTCGCCTGTCCTGGGAAACCCCGAATCTCCCCTGTGAACTCCTCAAGGCCGGAGGTGAACAGGAACCAGGCCTGATGCCTGGGCGGGCCCCAGAGCCCACCCCCCCCCCAGATCTGCCCATCCCTGCTCACACATGTGGTTCTCGCTGGCTCCCTCGCCCCGTGAACCCCACAGAGGGGAAGGACTTGGTCCTTCAGCCTTTGGGGCGAGGTAGGTGCGTGTGTTGTGTGTGTGTGGGGGGTCTATTGAAAGAGGCTGCTATCCTCTAAAGCCCCCTCTTCGGGCACTGGCCGTGACGCCCCGAAGTGGATCCCCTGAAACTCCTGGAGACGCCGCTCCGCCTGGCTCCCTCTCGTGCGTTGTGAGCGAGGAGAGCGGATAAACTGCCCAAACCCCAAACGCCCTCTGCAGCAGGAGCTTCCCGGCACCTTTCTCTGGCATCTTCTCAGCCATGCTGGGCACCGGATAGGCCTGGGCACGAGACGACGACGACGAAAGGAACACACATTTCACGCTAAAGACGGGCCAGGCACCGTGCTAGGAGCTCCCCTCGCAGCCATCACTGACGCCCGGGGGCCTGCCTTGTGCTCCGAGGCGCAGAGACTGAGTCTTAGGCGGCGTGGCCTGCCCACAGTCGCAGGGCGGGCCTGCGGCAGAGCGGGGTTACGGTCTGGGTCTGTGTTCTCCTAACCTGACAGCAGCCTGAGGCCGACTCCTTCCAGAGGGAGCAAACCATATGGAAGGCTGCCTGGCGCTGGGGCCGCCCAGGAAACATCCTGGGTGGGAGGGGTCAGCAGTGGGACCAGGTGTCTAGGCAGGGAAGGTGACAGGAGTGGCCTAGGGTGCCCTAGGCCCCAGCCTGGGAGTTTGAGGTCCAGAGGAGCTGTGTGGGGTTGGAAAGGAAGCTCTGGTGGTGCCGGGAACTGTGGGGGCAGGGTCAGGGAGCAGGGTGGAGGTGAGCACTCTGCAGGAGCCTCGAGCTCCTGCTGGCGGCCTCCCCGGCCTGGCTGCTGGGGAAGGCAGAGCCTGACACCGGGCAGTCCAGTGGGGAAGCCAGACCACATCGATGGGGACAAAGCCATAAGAAGGCCCTTTAGACTGTGGTAAGGGTGCCGGGAGGAAAGGGGGACAGGGTGACTGAGGGCAGCCTAACACAGCATGGCCAGGGAAGGCTGCCCCGAGGAAGTGGCAGCGGAGCTGAGGCCTCCGTGGCGCAGAGAGGGGTGGCTGTCCGGGCCACACAGGGCACGCAGGTACAGCCACACTAGGACCCAGCTCCAGACTCCCTTCTAATCGTCTCTCTCCTTCTAGAAACATCCTTCTCCTGGATTACGACTTGCTCCCCTGTCGGATATCGGTTCTCCGAGTCTCTGGCAGGCTGAGTCCTTGGCTGAGTCCTAGTCCTTCTCCAGGTGCTGGCTGGTTCCAGCCGTTTTCTGTCCGGCAGGCGGGCTGCACCCCCGTGGCTCCCGAGGTCTAGTGTCCTGCTCGACCTCTCTGCTTGGATACACACACTTCTCTGGGTTAGGACAATGCTAAGTCAACACAGCGAGGCCTGAAATCAGAGCAGTTCAAAAATATTCAGGTGAATGACAACAACACACTAAATACGGTCCGTTTGTCTGGCTTTGTGTCTGGCCTGACGGACGGGCTGTGAGGAAGGCTCTGGGCCACGGCAGCCTGATCGCCTGCTCGTTGGACAAAAGTAGTTGGTTTTCCAACCTTGAGGACATCGGTTTTCTGGACTCTCTTTTCCTGCCCGTCTCTTCTTGCAAACTAGCCAATCTCTTTCTTGTAATGTCTTACTAAAAGCCTCCTTGAGCGGCCAACACATGCAAATGCTTTGGCTCTTCCAGCCATTTTTGTAGAACTGTAGGCTCGGTGAGCGTGTGGTCTGGGTTCCAGGTTTTCACAGGTAGCGTGTTTACACATGCTCGCTCGCCGTGTAACAGGTGTCGCGGCCTTCCACCCAGCAGTGTTCGTCCCGTGCTGCTCGCCACCTGAGCCACCGACACAGAAACCAGGGTTGCCGTGCATGGCAGCTTCCCGTCCCCGGTACCGGTTTCTGAACTGGAGGGCGGTTCTGTAGCACACAACCACGTTTCGGTCAACAAACTACGGCGTATACAACAGTGGTCACGTAAAATCATAACAGAGCTGAAAAATTCCAATTGCCTGGTGACATTGCAGTCACAGCAACAACATAGCACAACACGGTCCTCATGTGTGCGTGTGGTGCTGCTGGCGTGAACGAACCCACCACACTGCCAGGGGCATAAAAGTTCAGCACAGACACCCGTGGACAGTCCATAATACTCGATAATAAGTGACGGCATTACTGGTTCATGAATTTACTTCGTACACTATGCTTTTTGTCATTCTTTTGGTAGACTCTTACACTCACAAAAAAGTTCGCTGTGACGCAGTGTGCCATGTCACGCCGCCAATAGCCTCGTGTGTCTGGTGGTCACCGCGTCTCTTGATTGCACCGTTTTCTCTTGTGCTCGATTTGGCCTCCTGCTGGTTTGGACGGCGACGTGCCTCTGAGGGGCTGAGGCCTGAGCAGGCAGGGGCCGTGCCGGCTGGGTGTGCGTGATTGCGCTCCGCCGTGATGTCTGCACGGGGAAGAAACATTGTGCATGACTGTATGTCTGCACTGATGTTACAAGGAACCCCAAACACAGTGGCCTTAAGGGGATAGAAATTACTTTTCCCCTCACATACTCTAGTTCTGATATGGGCATGTCAGGCCTCACCCCGGTGGGTGGTGAGTTTTCAGGGACCGCCTGCAGACCCCACAGTGTCGCTCCCCTCCCCCCAGCATCCCCCTTCAATCGGCGGCACTGCATCTAACACTCCCGAAGCAGAATATGCAAAGTCAGCCTTGATTCTGCACACCCCCAATCGAACCGGTCAACACACCCTTCCAATCCCCTCTTCAGGTGACCCTCGAGTTTGACCCTTCCTCTATGCCCCCACTGTCCTCGCCCTGACCCAGGCTCTCAGTGTCTTGTATCTGGGGTCGCGGGACGGTCTTCTCAGCAGACTCCAGCTTTCCTGCCGGGCCCCTTCCAGTCTACTCTCCGCGGGGCAGCCAGAGTGAGCTTTTAAAAACGTAAACTGGCTGTGCAGCTCCCCTGCTCAAAACTCCAGAGCCTTACTTGCCATTGCCCTGGGAATACAATGCCGTCCCCTCCACAGGGCCGGCAAGGCCCCTCTCCCTCTGCTTCAGCCACGCGGGCTTTCTGGGCCTCCCTGAACAAGCCATGCTCCTTCCTGCCTCAGGGCCTGTGCACTAGGGGCGGTTCGCTCTGCCACCCGGCCCTCACTTGCACACACACTGGATCCTTCCTCGTCCCCCACAGGGCAAAGGGATTCCGTACAGTGGGTAAGAAGGGGGCTGGGAGCCAAGATGCCTGGGTTTGGATCTCAGGGCTCCTGGTTACCAGCTGTGTGACCTTGGGGCAGGTTGCTCACAACAGCGTCTCTGTGCCCTGGTTCTCCCATCTGTCAATGGCGGCGGTAAAAGTGGCTGTTACCCAGGGTTGCTGGGAGGATCACGCAGAGCGGTTACGAGTTAATGCCTGAAAAGTAATTCAGGGCATGGCACATGCTCTGTAGTGTTCCCGTCCTTTCGGGGGTCACCTGCAGTGTCATGCACACTGAGAAACCTTTCCTGGCCAGCCCCCCATACACACATGTCTGCACCCCATCACTGCACCCGCAGGGCGCCGCCTTGTTTCTTGTCTGTTGTCTGTGCTCCCTGCACAGGTGCCCCAGAAGGTAACTTCCAGGAGGGCAGGGACACTTCCGAGCTGCAACACGGGAAATTCTCAATGAATCTTCCTTGAATGGCTATGAAAGGAGCAGAAGCCACGTCCCCTTGATTCCCTCCTTTCCCAGCGGCCACTGCAGGGAGCCTGCAGCGGGTACTACTCCCTGTGGCACCTCAGGCCCTCCGCACCCCAGGGCGGTGCCGGCAGTTTCCGCTTGGGAGGTGGGACACCCGGCAGGGGCCCTGCCCTCAGGAGCCCAGGGGCCCTGGTGGGCGTCAGCCCGGAGCAGGGGGCTGTGGCACAGGGACTCTGGAGCTGGCCCCACGGTGCCCAGCAGTCCCACACCCTCTCCATGCCTCCCTTCTCCCGCCTGTGAAGTTCGGAGAACACCGGTTACCTCTCAGGGCTGATAGGAAGATTGACTAGGGTAATGGATGTAACACAAAGCTCACTGCCCGGCCGGGAGTACAACTCTCCAGATGGTAGTTGTTGTTATTGTCCCTGTTGTCAGTGGCACACCCAAGTGTCACTCTGAGCCTAAATGGGGTGCCCGAGGGACAGGAGGGGGTGGGGGGGTAGTGCGGAGACAAACGCAAAGAAGACATACAGGGAAGAGAAGAACCAAAATGGAATCATCGGTTGTGTCTGTATTCGAGCCTGCCTCTGTGTGTGTGTGTGGGGGGGAGGGGGTGGACAACAAGGACGCAGAGAAGAAACCCAACCACCACCACGCCCCACTCGGTTCCGGGGAGCCGGGTGCCCTGCCTGTCCCCGCCGTAAGGACAGCCAGGAGCTGCCGCCGCCGCCGCCGCCACCGGAGCCGGCGCGGGGCCCGAGGCACCACAACCAGCGCCTCGAGTGTGCGCATCTGAGCTCAGGGACGGGCAGGGGGACCTGCGTCCCGGGCCACCGCGGTTCCTACGGACTTGGGGAGCCCGTACCGGACAGTAACATCTTAAGACCCCTCCTCCCCAGCCCGCCCGAACTCGGCCGCGAGCTCCCGGGGCTTCGGGCGCTCTCGAACCCCCGCGGGCGGGGCCTGCCTTCCGGAGCGGGGGCCGGCGGCGGGCGGCGGGCGGCGGCGCAGGGAAAAGGGCCGTTACTTTCCCAGAGTGGCAGGGCGACGTCAGGCGGAAGGGCGCGGGGCGCGCACGCTTTAAAAGGCATTCGCTGTCATCCGAGCTCTCAGCCGTGTGGGTAGCAGCAGGCTATATAAGCGGCGGGCCGGCCGCCGCGGGGCAGACGGCGGCAGCGGCGGAGGCGAGCGCCCGGGATCTCGGCGGAGTAGCGACCCGGGAGCCCCGCGCGCCCCCCGCCAGACCGGCCTTCCGCCCACCACCCCGAGGAGCGCCGACCCGGGCCCGCGAGGGCCGCCGCCACCCCGCAGCAGATTTGGATCCCCCACCCGGCGAGCCCCAGGCTGCTGCCCCCCGGGGGGCCCCGGCGCAGCGGCCGTCCCCGGACAGCCCCGCCGCCCCGCCGCCCGGCCCCGAAGACGCCGGCAGCGCCATGGCGGCCGCCAAGCCCGGCGAGCCGATGGGCATCTGCTCCAGCTACCAAGCGGTGATGCCGCACTTCGTGTGCCTGGCCGACGAGTTCCCGCAGCCCGTTCGGCCCGCCAAGCTGACCAAGGGCAAGGGCCGGCTCCGGCGGCCGCGCCAGTCCCGCTTCAAGACGCAGCCGGTGACCTTCGACGAGATCCAGGAGGTGGAGGAGGAGGGGGTGTCTCCCATGGAGGAGGAGAAGGCCAAGAAGTCGTTCCTGCAGAGCCTGGAGTGCCTGCGCCGCAGCACGCAGAGCCTGTCGCTGCAGCGGGAGCAGCTCAGCAGCTGCAAACTGAGGAACAGCCTGGACTCCAGCGACTCCGACTCAGCCCTGTGAGGGGCGCCGCCAGCAGCGGGGACTCGCACGCCTCCGCGTGCGCACCTCGGCCGGGCCAGCGCCGCGGGGACCCCCAGAGGACCCGGACGGCCGCCCCTTGTGCGTCTGGACTCCCGCCAGGCTGCGAACTGACCGGTGCTCCCCGCGCTGCGCCCCGCGCTGCGCTCGCCCTGAGGCCGGGGACGCCAGGAAGGGGGCCACTTTCTTTGCCCTTGTAAATGTTTATTTTTTAACTCTGCCCAGTACGAACTCTGCTGTGAGTGTGTGCGGGTGACGCGCCCGCGCAGAGTCGCCCACGTTGCCGGGGCTTCCTGGAGAGCCGCTCCACGCCCTTGTCCCGGGGTTTGCAACTCCGATATTGCACACCGCTCCACCACCGTGCCCTACAGCACACACTCGTTCACACTCACGCCGACTCACTCTCGCTGAACACTTTTATAATTGTTAGGCGCGGCGGACAGGACTTGGGGCGCAGCGGCTGCTGCTTCTGTGGCCAGAGGATTGATATTTATTTTTGCATTGCGATGGTTGATGGCGTTTATTTAACGATCTTTTTACCTGAATCTGTCTGTGAGGCTCCTGAACGGAGACGAATAAAGTCAGTATATTTGCACAGTGCATTTCTCCAGGCTCTTGACTTCTTGCACCTTCGGGGCCCAGGCTCCCCAGACTGGGGTGCGGTGGAGGGGGGGAGGATATGGCTGGAGTGGGAGTACAGGGGTCCCCCAGTGGAGGTAATTCCACACGCTTCAGTCACTGGAGCGGGGTCGCGGCCCCGGTGCCCGAGCTCTTTGCCCGCCTCCCCAAGTGGATCCACACCCAGCCCAGAGCGCCCCTGCCTCCCTGCTCAGGTCCCCATCGCCAGCGTCCGGGATGGAGTTGAAGCCACTGGTCAGCCGAAGGTCAGCACTGTGGGGATGGCGAGAGTCCATCTCGGTGCGGTTGACCTCTCAGGGAGTCTGGGGTCAGAGTCAAAGCCTCCTACCCACCGCAGAAGACAGTATTCACTCCTCACCCTTTCCTGGGTGGGGAGATGCCCGAGCCAGCAGTGGGAGACTCAGGTGGGGATACTTGGGACCCGAGGGGGGCTGGAAGCCCGCCCGAGCTGGGCGAGAGTTGGCGCCCTCCGTGTCGGGCGCTGAGTCAGGGGAGTGCCCGGGACCCTGCGCCGCAGGAGCAAACGGCGGCTGTTTTCGGTTCCTTGGTCCCTCTGAACAGCCCTTCGCTTTGCCGTCCTCAGGGGCCCGCGAGGAGGGTGGGGCACGTCTTCGGTCAGAGCCTGAAGCGGCTTGGGCACCACCAAGTCTCCCCACCCCTTTTGTGTGCAGATGAGAGAACAACCTGGCAATCGTGGAAGGGAAGGTCACACGGGGAGGAAGTAGGAATCGCAGGCAGCTCTCCTGGCTCTGCCTCCAGTGCCCGTAACCATCACAAGGACCTGTCTTTCCAGCGCTTCACAGCTGCCGCCTGGCATCCCTGACTCCGCCCGAAACTCTGAGGGTTAGAGTGTAACGGCGTCACATGGCAGCTGGTAGTGACCCGCATTTGGAGGCCCTATCATCCCACCCCTCCAGGATTACTTCGGAGTTGTCCCGCCACGCCAGGCCGGGTAGTTGGAAGAGGCGCAGAGAGCTTGGGTGCTTTTCCTCCTCCTCCCCGCAGGTCGCCCTGTTTCCTTGCTCGGGCGCCCTCTGGTGGTGGGGGCTGGTGCTCAGCTCAGTCCCCCCGGGGATCTGAACCGACTTTCATCTTAACATCGCAGCTCTTGTAGCCCCACTCCTCCCGGCTTTCCGGAAGCTAGAGAGCAGAGGAAAGAAACAAAGGAACAAAAATAGGAGCCCTTTCTATTTCCTAGATGGGATGCTGCTGGATTTATGAATTGTTGAATAAAGCCCTTAGGTCTTAAAAAAATACAAAAACACACAGGGCCTGAGAGAATGTCCTCACAGGCTCAGCGAGAGGAGGACAGCCGCAGGGTCTCTGGGACTGCGTCTTTGGCGCAGTCCTAGCTCCAGGGAGCACACTGGTCACTGCAGTCCCCAGTGACAGTCAGCTCCATTGTGCTGTGGCCATGACAGAAGGCCCTTACTTACTGGCAAGTGCCTCCGCCTGGGGAGGCAGCTGTGGTGCCGCTTTGATTCCAGTGTCTGCAGCTGCCATGGGTAGGCCGCTCCGAGTGCCTTGAGGTGGGAGGAGGAAGGGTGCTGAACTCCGACTTCCCTCACCCCATTCTCTCTTCCCTCAACCTGCTCCCCACCCATCTTATCTTCCATCTTTAGCAGTAGCTCCTGTCTCTACTCTTTAGGGGTGGGTGCCCCCCACCTTCCTGGTGGATGTCACACGCGTGGGCCTGAGATCCTGGCCGGAGCATCTCCCCTCTGAGCACCACAGTCCCCGTCTTCCCGCTGGAGAGCCTCCTTCTCCCATCCACCTGCCTCCCCTTCCTTAGCTGCAGGCCTCCTGGGGTCACCCTGGCCAGTATCCGGGGGTGGATGTGGGGCCACACCCCATCACTGCAGGCCCTGCTCACCGCTGGCAGGGCCCGGCACGGAGCCAGTGCTTCTGAAGTGTGTGTTGGGTTAAAATGATTAAGGGGCCAGTGAGGGCGGTGGATGCCCATCGTGCTCACTTCCCGGTTTCTCCATACGTTATTCTGTTGAATAGATGCTCCACATTTAATCAAGCTAATTCCCCATTCTTTGGTGTAACAGTGATGTCTGATTTGTCCCAGTTTCTTAGTTTTGCCTCTAGCTGGCAGTTAGCTCTCGGGGCTGGGTATAGAAAGAAGTTTGGAAGAGGCAGTGGCATGGACAGACGGGGGCTGGGCGAGCGGGGTGAAGGTTGGGATGCCGCAGCATTAGAGGCGGCAGGCTGGTCTGCGGTGCCCTCTGCTCTGAGCATCTCTGCTGTGCACAGAAGAGGAAGGAGGGGAGGCGGGAAGGGGCTCCTCTGAGATCCCTATGGAACAGCTGGGGCTCAGCTCCTCCCTGTGGCTTGAAGGCATTCCAAGCAGCACACAGCTCCAAGGAGGTGGCTGGGCTGGGCTGGGCTGCGCTGGGAGAGGCCAAATGGTGGAAGAGGAGGAAAGAGAGGGAGAGGCATGGGCTGAGGGAGCAAGAGAGCATGAGAACCAGAAAGATGGGGGAGGATTGAGGCCCTGGGGACGCAAAGAAACATGGAGACATGGAGAGATGGGGAAGCACAGAGAGAGTCAGGAGCCAGAAAATGTCAAGAGATGGGCAGAAATAAGGGCTACCTTTGGAGAGAGGAGAAGGGGGCCCGTAGAGAGTATCAGGGAGGGGAGGCGAGATGGGAAGTGCTCTGGAGAATGGGCTTTGGAGGAGAGAGCATCTCAGAGTGGCCCTGACCGGGAGCGGCAGGGCTGGCATGTGCCCAGGGCGGGCAGGACCTGCCCAGCTGTCTGGATTTACAGCCACTGGGATTTACAGGCTTGCCCGAGGAGATGGCCTCCTTCCTTCCCCTTCCCTGCCTGGGCTTCAGCCCATGGTCCTAGCCTGGGTGACCAGTTTCCAAATAAGCTGGATCCCAGAGGAGGTAACAAGTGGCCGTCCCAGCTTTGGCTGGCAGCCTCTTCTGAATGTTTCTCTCTGGCCCAAGGGGAGATATTTATCAGGATGTTTCTTGGACTATTTTGAAAGTCAGCTTGACCTCAGCAGCCCACTGTGTGCCAGTTCTGGTCCCGCTTGGTGTGGGGTGGAGAGGGGAGGGCAGTCTGTGATTCAAGGAAATGGGGTCAGCCCTGGGCTTGAGCTTCTTCCCTCAGGGAGTACATTGGGGGGCACTCTAGGCCCACTGGGCTTTGGCAAAGTGGGAAGGGGAAAAAAGACCACCGCCGAGTGAGTACCTCCAGTGAGTATTCTACTTTCATCCTGATAACCTTTCCCAGGTGTTTCACAGATGCGGAAACTGAGGATCAGAGGGGTGGAGTTTCTTGCCCAAGGCCACACAGCTAGTCAGCGTTGAGCTGGGTTGCAACCAGAATTTTTTTTTCTAATTTCAAAGCCTGTGTTTTTCTTGGATATGAACTCCAACCTCTCACTGTAACCCTTGTGGCAGCCCTGAGAATGGGTCTTGAAAGACCTCCTGTTGGGGGGATTGGGATGGGGCAACTGACCAGAGCAGAGCAGCTCTAGCTTAGAAATCCGTCCCCTGCCCTGCCCCTCCCCCCCACCAGCATGGGCTGCTCCCTGACGTGATTATGCGTGGCTGGGAAGCTAAGGTCCAACTGTCCTGGGAGACCCAAGATTTCTTTGTTTGGGAACTTCGGCTCAAGGATTTCCCGCTGGCTCTGCTGAAGCTTCCTCAGACTCCAGGGCAGTCTGTGGACACTTCGCCCTCTCCCCTGTCAGAGTCTCTGGCACTGCAGCCTGCTGGCTCCCTCTCTGTTTCATTTCACACAGGCGTGTCTCCTGATGTAATCCCAGCACGCTTAATCCATCGTGGCATCTGCTTCTTGGAGAATGCTGGCTGGCACACTCCTCTGTCTCCCAGCGGCTCCCTCAGGCCCCCCTGGCACAGGGGAAGGACAGTGGGCATCGTCTTAGAGAGGACCATGGGGGCATAGCAAAGCTACCAGACAAATATGTGTCCTCCTGGTCTGCTGGTCCCGTGCTCTGGATGGGAACTGGCATGTCACAGCCTGTGTGTGGGGTGAAGGCACAGGTCCCTCGTGTGGACAGCGATCCTCTAGGCCTACGCTCAAGGCCATATGACTCGTAGCGACCGGCTGCCCATCCAGCTACAAGACCCGCGGTAGGGACTGCTAATTGCTCACTGACATTGATTTTCCCCAGAAGCTGTCGTACCCAGCTCTGTCGACATGATGGAGTTCCTGCCAATGGCGTACGTTGGGGAGAAGAGCGTGTTTCTCCCAGGCCTCGGCCCTAAGGCGCAGCCTCCCCTGCCCACACGCTCTGTTTCCCCTTCCCACACGTGGGGACCCGCACGTGCTGCAGGCCAGAGGTGATCGGGCTGACCAGGCCAGTGGCATAGGCGAAGGCAGAGAAGCCCGATGGAAGGGCCCCAGGCTCCCGAATGACCTTGTGGGACTGAACAGCCTGACGATCGGAAACAAGCCCCAGGGGCGGTTTTGCGAGAGAAACACACGTCTATCTTCTTCGAGCCACACCATCGTTACTGGGTGTCTTCATTATAGCAGTCTTTCGTTGCTGTAAATAAACAAGATTCAGTGCTGGCGGTGGGGTGCGTCCTAAGACCCCTACAGTACGAGTCATTGACTTGATGGCTTCGCTCCACATTGGGAGGGCGCAGAGACTGCAGGCCGGGAGCTGGAGGCCTCCGTTACACCTTGGGAAAGAATGTGGCAAAACCATCCTTATGACACTTCGGGAAGGCCGATCACATGTTGACCGAGCCCACGGCTCTGGGAGAAGTGGCCGGAAAGAGCCGAATATTAGTGTACACAGCGGCTGCTCTGTGTAGCTGCCATGTACACTAATTGGCTTTCAGCAAATTATTACAAGAAAGACAGGAGAGGCTGAAAGCAGTAGAGAGCATCTAGAAATGTGGGACCTCACAGAGGCGGAAGCCACCTGCTTTGTAAGCTATGCAGACAGAGGTTCGTGGTGGAGGGTCAG